TACGCACAGTATACACATATGCCCATAACAAACTGATCAATTGTAGTCTTAAACCTCAATGGGAAGATACAAGCCTTACAATACCAAGTGAAGTCATATTATTGTATCATATTTACTTGTTTTGTGAATTTATTCGATTAAAATAAGATAGAGAATGAAAAACAATTACTAGTTCTATACAAGAGCATGTAATCAACTGTGGACACATCGTTCTAAAAGAGTTTTTTGTTTTTAAAAAGTAATCTACACATTCAAAAGAATTGGATCGAAGCGAATTCGAGAAAATATTAAATTAATCAGTTACCTTATTGTTTAATTTAAAATGTGATCTATAATTTTTTAACTGAGTCCAGCGTAAATTCACTTAGTGTTGTTTTACTTGTATCTTCCCATTGCTATTTAGGACTGCAATTGATCAGTCTCTTGTTGTCATACGTGCATCCTGTGCGGATTATCTCGATATGGCCTTAAGTTACAAGCTTTTAAGCAAAGACGGATAGTGGCTAGCAGTAGAATCCAGGACGCCCGTTTCGTCCTATTTAAGACTTGTCAACTGGATGTACCTGCATCCTAGAGTTGATGTTCACTCCGGTACTCGAACTAATTACCGTTCGCTTCAAACGCCATCGCGTTATCCACTACTGAGTTCAGTGTATTTAAAATGTATTTATTGCTTGTGAATATCGATCACGCTTGTAAAGTATGAATTTTAACAATTAAAGGATTTAATAAACATGAACTTATCTGCTTTTACTTACTGTAAAGGATAACATAAGCCCATTAATATCGTTTGACAATGATCTCAAATTCTAGAATATAAATTTAGTATAGTAATGGTGAATGTGTATAAAATAGTTTTATTATTTAATTTTCAATCCTATGTCGTATCACGTTCAATTGCGCACTACTGAGGAGTCCCATACCAGGACGAAAGGGCTGTCCAGTGCTTCCAGGTTTTCCATGTTGGTTCAGCTTCAATTGACTCATGAATTTAACTACTAAATTACTATGATATCCACAAAATACCTTTCTCAATATAATCTTTCTTATTTTTACACCAATTATTCTTTCAATCAAATCGAAGTTAAAATAACGACATATTGGGGTAACCAAAATTTTTCATAGTGAACAATGTGTAGAATAGTCCGCCTTGAAATAATTTAGTTAACTGAACAATATAATGAAGATCTATATCATGTCAAAATATTAAATAATACATTGTGTAAATAGAACAGGAAATATCAGCGGATAATTATATTTTCAAAGGGATCTTTAGGGATCATTAGGGCTTTTTCTAATATGCAGTAATAATGTGTTTATATTTACGGAAAGTATTAAACTAATTAAGGTAGCTTGTAAGTCAGCACCAGTCTTGGTGTTCTTTGAGTTAGGGGAATTGCAGTGGTTCCTCATTTTGCAACTGTAAGTGATAAACGATTCCGATATAACAACCAGAAATAACACTAATCGCTGTTATCACCATTCGTAGGTATTGTTGTACGTGCTACTTATATTGATATAAGTAGTATATGACGCGAGCCAGTAATATAATGTATGGCAGCAGAAGATAGGGGAAGATTAAGAAAGGAAGAGCGGGAATAGAAAGCAATTTTTACCAAGTAACTCTGTAATTTTGTGCTACCTATAGTTTGGTTGTCCCCACATGTGTTCTCCTTTACTACAGTATTACTAGTATTAATTAGTATCACAATAACTATGGCTCATTTTATTTTAAATTACTTTTCAACTATGATTTTGATCTATTCATTAGGACTCCTAACCTTAAAGTGTAATTTTTCAATCCATTCTAATTCACATGAAGATAGTTATTATCAGTTTTGAGAAACGACTTATTCAGTCATTAATATTAGACGTATACACTATTATACTGTCTAGTGTAACACAATAGATAATGTTCGTAACTGTTGAGTCTATATGGGTTATCGAAAACGATTGTTTACTCAAGTAATCCTTGTTTTCAAATATTCTTTTCGAGGACATTACGTTAACTAAATACTGCATGTGAAACAGTTTGAATACTGAATGTTAAGCAAAAGTAGTCAAATGAGCTACAAAGCTGGTTAAAAGTTAATAACTGTAGACATCATAATAGCCTTATATAGTAACATCTATTAGAAAAGAATAAAGAACTGTTAACTTATAGGTTTGATGGAAAACAGCAACGACATGTCGGATAATCATATTAGTGCGCAGTTTACAAAGGACTGTCCTTATGTTTTTTGGAACAATAGTAATATCTGTTGTGATATTTAACTAAGAAAGAACCGGTTAATAGTTTATCAGTACGACGAAAAGTGCTGTTTCATTTAAGCACTGATCTACAATATATGATAAAAATTCAGACTGTCATAACTCTCCGATTCATGCTCTTTAACGAAAGTGGATGGAATATCTTGATTTCATGGATGTCCACTGTATAATGTATGAACGTTGACTTCTACAATAGTTTGAAGCACTGAAGCTAATAAAAAGAATATGGATGGTTGGATCCACACTATGACTAAATGGTTTACCATGTATTTTTTAAGTGTTTTTAGCAGTATGTTCACATCCGTTGCGGATAGCAGCCTTATGATAACAGAACGACGATTTATCCTTATGATGAGAACCTTCACTTTATCAGGGATTAGATCTGAAGTGAAGACAACAAACTTAGAATTTTCACGTCTAGTTGACCTCAGTCACGATGTGGATGGCCTAGAATGGTTCGTCTGGAAAGGCACATTTTTGTGATATACAGAATTATAATGACATCACAAATGTCGCTTTGTGGAAAAAGGTCTGATTAAGTTTCTGTCGAGTCGGTTTTCCGAGAATTGCAACGGAGCCTCCAGAGACCCTATAGAAGCCGTAGAGTCCTATCCAATCAAAGCATGACGGAGCTTTCTAGAATATCAACGTGGCTTGCTACTATTGGTCAGTAGCATAATATGTCTTTTAGCGGATTGGCCTAAATCTGATGTTGATTTAACAAATGTTAACATCTATAAATACCCGTGTTTTTCTATACAAAAATGAAAATTTGGAGTAAAGTGCTTTTCGCTTATTCTACGCCTTTTCTCTCGAGTTCAGGTCGCTGCGTAGTTCAAGCTTGCGGGTTACCAGAACTGCTTAGGAACCGAATAAGGCATTCAAATTAACAAAACTTATCAGTTCCAAACTTTGTACAGTTAACATAACATCATTAAAATCTTAAGTATAGTTGATCAGCCAACTCACGATGTAGCTGAATAAACATTAAACATGGATATTGAATCCATCGGAACTTGGTCTCTGGATTAAAATTCCACAATGTTACTGATGAAGGTGACCAGTAGCAGATATTTCTTGTGATATCACTATGTTTGAGTTACTACCTTTTATGATTCAAGTTTTATTATCTGAAATATATTGGCTGGTTATATACATCATATGAGAACTGGCTTTCATGTAATGATCTCATCTGAAACTGTTCTTATTTGTGGTTACTCACCCTTAGTTGAGTCTTATCGTCACACCCAGCTAACAGAAGTGGCTTTTTTTAAATCAGGAGTGAAGGATGTTAAGAGTATTTGTATAAGGATTTGAGAGCGTAACAATTTATCTAGTTCTAACTAATACCATTTATTTTCTTCAAATGACCAGATCATACGTGGAAAGGACCTTGGAAATTGGAGCTTGATGTATACATCACTTTACAATTCACCTCATTATTTGAATTTCTGAGGCTGCTGGCAGTAATATTTCAGAATTCGTAAGAACAACAATTGATAAATTAGGTTAGGTAAACCTAAAAGTGTTTTGCCTTGCTTCGAATTTCAACTAAATCCACTTATTTCTTTAATGATATCTCACACTTTGGTTGGTTCGGTATGCTATTGATACAAATTTTCAAATCTGTTGTTTATAATCTTTCTGAATAAGCCATTGGTTAACAGATCATCCAGAAATGATGTACAGATCACAAACGTAATATACCTTTGAATCTTATTTACATAAAACACATTAGCTACACAGATATCTTTTGTGAACACATCAATTATCGAAATTCATACATCGACAGTTAACTTTTCATTTTGAATATTGAAAGCTATGCAAAGATGTAGTTATTCTCGGATATAATAAACATTTTAAAGGACAACTTACTTTTTTTCCAAACATTCGGGAATTGTTTTGATTTTGTAGACAACATAGTTGTGATTTAAATGATTCTGGTTTATCTATCTGATGGTCACTAGAAACTATAAAACAAATGTTTTGTTTTGAAAATTAGAATTGCGACTAAGTGTATAGATTACAATTTCAACAACTACCAAACAGTATATTAGAAATTGTAGTTCTCTCTTGAATTCGTTTCATAGCTTGAGTCATACATAACATGACAGTTATGGTTGATTTGTATGCGCATGCAGCAAGTGTGAATGACATTTAAAGTAACCCCAGCTATCATGATAGAATTCATCAAAATGAATTCCTACTAACGAGTTCATTTTTCAATGCTGCACAATTATATATATCTATTTGTACATTTGTATGTATATACATACTTACTGCTAGTAAGCCTTTTACTGTCTTACGGTTTATCAAAGAGCACAAATAATCAGTAAGTATTCTGTAGATTTATATAAATGTAAGTATCATATTATATCAAATGAAATGCATTGTACTCATACTCCATTTGCCACGTTTATTCAAGATTTTTTTAAATATCAGTGTGTAAATTAAACGGAGTAGATATATTTATATTCTCCTTCTAATCAACTGTGATGGTAGTTTAACTGTATGAGTTAAGATAGATAATGTATATTCTTTATAGTACTTAAATCCAATCGATCAGCACGTTAACGGTAGATATGTTGTCATATTATTTTCACTCAGATAACTTACTCAGAAATAAGCTGAAACCGGTGATATGCGAATAACCTATCTGTTTCATTTATTCATGTGGTATAGAAAACATAGCTGATAAGATTAATTATGAACACTGAATTTCAACATTATTATAATTTAGATAAAAAAAACATGATGTCAAAGTCACCTGCAGATATAAGCTCACGTCCCATAATCCAACCGATAATCCCATATTTTTCAGACATAGAATATGATCCATTGAAATACGGTGGATGTAGAAAACCAGTAGATATATGAATGCTATTATCTTTGTTCAATCCAGATACGTATGGCGTGAAACTGGGGACTTCTGGTCTATATATATATGTAAATACGAAATATACCATAATTCTATTCCGTAAGACATATAATTGGTTAAATCTTAGGTAATGAATAAAAGAAAGATGTATCGCTAAATTAATTTGGTTTTACTATTCATTGATAATCTTATATTTGCCTTATATTTCATTCCGTTGGAGAGGTTTACTTAAGAGCCCTAGATAGTTGAAATTTGAACTGCATAAGCCAGAAATGAAACTGGTAGACAGTTTTCAGAATGACTTGATGCTTCAAGATTGATCGAAAGCGACAAAATAGGAGCACATGGTCACCACTAACTGATCTTCGAATAATAATAAGTATTATTGGTATTCACCCCTATTGCTGATCAGATTTAATTGATCAGTTGATCAACCCATTAATTAAAAGTTGTTAATATTGCGATGTATTTTGGTTTGATGTTAAGGAATTTTAAGAATTAAACGAAAAGCTCTATGAGTCTTCTGCTTTCTATACAAATATTCGAGGTCGGTTGCATTTTTGAAAAAGATATTCTTTGGAAAGACATCAAACATACATTGTTAAACATATTTTAATTGATTTAGACTTCAGATTTAAAAACAGTATACATAATCTAAATGTGTATCATATTCTGAACAAAACTATCAGATGTGTAGAATGAAGTAGTTCAAATCAGTTGATAAACACTACAATACTGACCTACTGTGATACTTAGAGGTCATTTCACTGATTGCGCGCAAACGCTTAACCTACTAGACTAATGAGCTACGAAACCGAGGGCCCTGGGTTCGGATCCCGCGAGCGAGATCGTGGAGTCCCGTACTAGAGCGAAACGACCGTCCAGTGCTTCCAGGTTCTCAACGGTGGTCTAACATCAACCGGTTCAAGATCTCAATCAACAAATTAATAATCTACACAACCCTATACTGATGTATAAATTTGTTTAGTGAAAATTTAAAGTCAATAAACATTTAACATTTTTGTATTTGAGGTAAAATTTAAAAAAAGACATGATAAAATCATTATATTCTATACACGTCATTGATTTATTAAATTCTATGAAGAAAACTATACTACTGAAATATATTCGAAATACTTTCTACACTTTTATTTCAATCCATTATAAAAAGAAATAAAGTTACATTACCAATTATAATCCAATGATCATTTACAATTATAAAACAGAATAACGATTGGAACAATGAACACTACGATTTGTAGTGAATATGAATTCATTAAAATTGTAATCAGTCTTAACAAAACAATAATAAAGGCAATTAAAATAGGATATTCAAACTATAGAGAGCTTAATCACTGTCATCAGTAAATACTGATGTAAATCTAGGTCAGAATTCACGTTTTTAAACTACAATGTTATATGAATACCGTTTTATTATGGCGAAGGGTGGATAGAGTCAACTTCGTGTAGATTTCCAGCAATAAGTTAAGTCCAACAAATATAGACAGGTGTTTCTGCTTTGCTTATGTGTCTGTTTAACCTTTTAAGCGCACATCAATAAATCTAATTACAGTTTACATACAATGAGGGCCTATCGGTCTGTTGTCAGATAGTAAATCACTGAAGACAATGGTGGACGGTAGCTCGGTTTCGTGGGTTGGTTGAAGTTAAACATTAACACTGTTGAATGCCAGCTGGCTCAGTGGTCTAGAGGTAAAGCGTTCACGCGCGATACCGGAGGTCTTGGGTTCTAATCCCTTTGGTACGGGATTGTGAATGCGCACTGCCGAGGAGTCTCATACTAGGAAAAAACGGCCGTCTAGTGCTTCCACATTTTCCATGATGGTCTAGATTTAATTGACTCATGAGTTCAACTATTTAATTTTTGTTTAGAATACAATTGGTTTTAAATCGCGATATATTAAATAAAATTAATTCTATAAATATATATTTGATTTTATTTATGTACTCAGAAATATAAAAGATGAATACTTGAAAAGTACAACCTACTCATCGTATTTACGCAAAGTTGCGCCGAATGATTTGAGAAGTTTAGTCTTCCGAGAATAATATTCATTCATAAAGTAATTATTTTCTAGAATTTTATTCTAGAACAGAAACAATGATTTTTTAAAACATTTACATGTTTTCAAGTTGAATAATGAAATGGAAACATAAAAAACTTTTCCGTCGAATTGTTTGAAACTACTATCTCCATTCCTACAGATGCCGAAGTCAGTTAACAGACAAATGACAACTAATCGTCTACTGAAATGTCTTTTTAGTAGTCATAATTACGACATACTGATATTTGAACTACAGTTCATAACAAACAATCCATATCAAGAAGCTATTCTTGCTGAAAGTGTAAACAGGTTTTGTTTATTATAACACACTGTGGCACTGCATTTGATAAACAATCACCTTAAAATTATGTCTGGGATGATTTATGAACGAAGTATGTCAAGCGCTTGGCAATAGTTTTTAGGAGTTAGAAGTAGACATGAAATCTATTCGACTGGTTTATGCCAGTAGCAATGATAAGGGTAGATTTCCGAAATTTTATGCAGCAAAAATTCAAGCTGACGTTATATTGTTAGGATCAATTAACAAGATAGTGTGGAAGAATGACACAAAATGGTCGAAACCGTCTAGAGATCGTTCTGCGTAAAGACCAGAGATCGTAAGTGTACTACGTAGAGTAGTTGAATCTAAGTTAGTTTGTTTTATTACTGTATAACTTGATCTGCCTAAGGTTCTGACGACTGTTCAGAACAAGTAGAACACATCCAAATAATTCGATTGAATTATCACCTACGCAAGGAAATAGGTCTCCACTCTTAAACAGTAGTAAGATCAAATGACATTTCTCTTAAGCCTTTCATTTCTTTCCCATTAAATATTTAAAATCCAAATGCAATTCACGGAACTGACTAATAAAATAGTATGAAAGTGACACAAATGAAGTAACGTAAACCTTACTGAACTGTATGGTGAATTTCACTAAACCAATAATAATTTACTAGAGTTTAAGCGTTCGTGAGCGCCAGACCAATTGTATTAGGTTTGATTTCCTCATGCGTGATCGTGGATGCGCTCTATTGAGGAGTACAATACTAGAACGAAACGACCGTCTAGTGCTTCCAGGTTTCCAGTGGTGGTTTAGATTGGATCGACTCATGAATTCAACCATTAAAATTTACTGTTAGTTGAGTTACTGACAACAAACCAGCTTAATTAAAAATGAAAAATATTATCATATAAGAACAAAATCGTTTCTGTGAGTTGGACATTTGTGAATAGAGAAGTGACATCTAACAATATCACTTTGTTTCTTGGTACACCGACGTTTTTTAATGGGTTGACGGGATCGAAGGAGTCTGAAACGGGTTACTGATACTTCAGTTCTACGATCTGCCAAAAGTAAACAAACCAAATATCTCGCTACGCCCAATTGTATCAATTCGAGAAACCATAACATTTAATTTTTCAGGAGAAATTTCAAGAATATTTAGTAGATTCATCCAATCGCTTCATCAAATCTTTCATACAATACTTGGATGAGGTTAAAGAGACTCAAATCAATTGTAACGAATTGATGATACCCTTCAACGTAACAGCATTAACCATCTCAATCGAATAAAGCTTAGGAAAGAAAATTCTATACTCGCTCATCGACGATTAAACAAATCCCAAAAAGTACACGAAGCTTCAATCAAGGTTGGCTAGGACTTATCGATTTATCCTCAACAACATACTTTCAACTCAACAATACAGCCTGATGACAAATAAAAGGAACATCAATGGGACCACCCATGTCAGAACTTATTGTAGAAGCTGTGATGCAGAGATTGGAAGCCTCGATCTTACCAGTGATCAAGCCGAAATTATAGATTTGTTATATGGACGACACATTCGTCATCGTCGAAAAGGACGAGCTGGAAAACATCAACAATCTTATCAACAACGTCTTCGATTACATAAAGTTCACAATGAAACAGAAGTCAAGCAACAAACTTCCATTCTTGGGTGTAATGATCACTAGAACCGACGCAGTAAAACTTGAGACTCAAGTACATCGGAATCTGGTCTACACAGATCGAATCCTCAATCAGAGCAGCAACATTCCAGGAACTTACAAATAAATTGCGTACAAACTTTATTTAAGAGGGAGAGAACATACTGCAACACACTTTCCGAGCGGAAAAATAAAGAAAAATATCTAAAAGACCATCTTTCAAATGAACAGCTACCAAACCAATCTCATCAAAGAATATTAAGTGAACGCATCAGCAGAAACGAAATGAAGTACAGAAACCAACAAACGGATCCTTCTACCATATATAAAAAATTACGAAGACATTTTTGTAGCCGTTTGGAAAGTGTGTAGCACACAAGCCAGTGAAGTCACTTCAATCAATCCTATGCAAACCAAAGGACAAAATGACAAAAGAAGAACCGAAAGTTATTTACAAAATAAATAGTTCCGAACGAGAAAACACTATATCGGGAAAAGTGGATGCCCTCTCCATCTTCGCCTGCACGAACACCAATTAGCGGCGAAACACCACGATATATTTACGCTTATATCAATGCATGTGGACAACTGTAGATACACATCAGACTGGAAAAATATTGAGATATTGAATAGAGGGAATACCAAAAGTACCAGAGAATTTTTAGGAGATTTGGACTCTGGTCAATCAGCAATCAACAAATACATTGAAATCGATCCAGTCTATCATTTAATCAGAAAGATAGTGGACAAATATAGGACTGAGAATCAACTCAATGGGAGATATAACCAAAATAAAGAAGTAGACAATGACAGAATGAAAGTCAACAATAAGCAATCGAGATCGAGGTAAACAGGACAACCTATGAGTCATATATCGAGAAATCCGAACACTTCACTTCTACCTGAATTTGTGCTGATAATGTTGTTCAGAGGAACAATGAAAGCTCCACGACCAAACTGTCCATCTCAGAAAACAAAAATCCACAAAAGGTCTTCCTCTGAGCTATAAATCTTCCTTAGCATCTCAGTAACATAAATAAAATCATGAGATAACTGGATGTACACAGAAAGTCTCTTTAAACACATTTAGTAAATCATTTAGACACCGAATCTTGTTCACCTTTAATTAGAAAATAATAATAATAATAATCAATGGGAATACATTGGTTTTGAAACTCACATTGAATATAAAATCTTTGTTCTCTCTTTCTTTCACATTCAATGATTCCGATGAAATTATCGATAAACTAATATTTTTAACCTTAACAATATAATAGATTATTAATTATGCAGTCGATTAAAATTGAACAAACCTGATCAATAGTGCCTTTATTGTTTTGATTGTACCATGAATTCGATGATAATAATTGAATCAAAGTGATCTTTAATTTATCAAATATTTCAAGTACCTATACATTGTAAACAGATACACTGGATAAAACATAAAATAACTACATAAACGATGGAAATTATGGATAATTGTTCAGCAATCACTTGATAAACGTCATATTTTCGTGATTTTATTTTGGAAATATGAATTTCTCGTTTTCGCGCCGAAAGTGCCTATTTTTACGTTCAGATTGTATTTCCTACTTAAGGGGATCCTAAATGTCATTGGTTCGTTCCCTCTTTTAATATACTTTTTTTTGTGACGTTTCCTAAGAACATTTTTATGCTATATATATATGCGCCTGAGTTGAGCGCCTGTTGTTGTTCGTGCTTCTGGGTGCTTGTGGAATATACCTTCCCTTCATCTGAACTGGGTCTTCTCCTTCTAGTCATCAGGGCTTGGATGTATCGGAATAGTTTAGGTTGTCTTGTCGTTGAGTCGTTGATCCTTCATTCCTTTCTCCGGTTTTTGAGTTAGTTGAATGTGCACTCAGTAATAGAAACAATAGTCACTTAGTCTCATAATATTTATCAATCAAATCAAATTTCCGTTACAAGCTGATTTAAATTATATGTAAGATTATAATATTGTACTGCCTAACGTAATGTTTTATTGTGACCATAAAATTGAATAATATTTGACCTCATTTTAAACTTGCCTCCTTTTTTTTACTTTCACTTATACTAGAATATTTGTGATGTCGTTCTATTGTCCATGGAAAATTTTCTTTTACCTCATCAATGCAACTTGTTGGCATTTTTTCTAATAATTTTGCTAATATTCATCAGTAGTTTGTTATGTAAATAAATGAAAAAAAAATGTAGAGAGTAACATAATTATTATGCTGCCCTTAATCACAAAGAAAAAAAATAAACCAAAGGAATTTTTTTTGGCGATATTCCTACACAATGATTCTTATCTCAGTATTATTTAAATTTATGTACGTTAGTGTTTATTAACAGTTGTCTACGCAAAATACTTCAGATCCGTTGGCCGGACACTATTAGCAACAACGTACTGTGGGAGAGAACAAACCAGATCCCAGCGGAGGAAGAAATCAGGAAGAAGCGCTGGAAGTGGATAGGACACACATTGAGGAAAGCACCCAACTGCGTCACAAGACAAGCCCTCACATGGAATCCTCAAGGCCAAAGGAAAAGAGGAAGACCAAAGAACACATTACGCCGAGAAATGGAAATAGACATGAAAAAGATGAACAAGAATTGGATGGAATTAGAAAAAAAGGCCCAGGACAGAGTGGGTTGGAGAATGCTGGTTGGCGGCCTATGCTCCATTGGGAGTAACAGGCGTAAGTAAGTAAGTAAGTAACGTTAGTCAATCTGGTGAGGATTGATTAACTATGCCTTTAACATGAATTAGTTATATTTGTTTTGTCTATTGATCAGTTCTCTTTACAGTTTAACCAAATATATTTTAATGTTTATATTTACCGTAGATTTTTTATTATTTTAAAACTTGCATTGTAGATAATTCCAGTCAAATTGGACAACATTACAAAATCAACGATATTGTTGTAGGTGACAATGTTACTTACAATTATCAAAGAAATCAAACTCTTTGAAATATTGATTTAAGGTACTTCTCATATTGTATAAGAAATTTATCATTATCATAGTATGTAGAATTCTAGGAAAAAAAATAATATAACCAAACAATATATGGTCTGGTAATAATTCAAAAGAATTTTATTTTAAAATTTAAAATAGTACTGTAGTGTGTAATAAGTAATATGTATCACCAATTAAAAATGAAATGTTTGGGGGTAGAAGGTTAAGGAGATTGAAGAGAAAAGAATAAAAATAAAAAGTGATTGATATAGAAATGAAAGAACAGTGAAGTTTGAGACCATTGATTAACATTTAAAAAAAAGGAATAATCAATTCTGAGACAATTGGTTGACATTTTGCAAGTGAATTATTTATTGTATGGTTTACAGATTTTATCAAGATACTTTGTACTGTCGTATTAAAATATATTTGATTGTCTCTGCTTATTTTCTCACTCACTACGGTACAAGTTCGTAAATGTACAATTAATTGAAAAGTGTAAATATTTATATTGATTATTTAGGGATCGGTTAGAATAGACAGAATAACTGTTATTCATGTGTTTAGTTCTCTATGAACTGTATTCAATTACTTGAATTTGTTTATTCTATTATTGGTATAACTTTTAATCTTGCATATTTTCCTATTAATTTAATGTTTAATTTTGATTTATTTACAATTGTTTACTAAACACTGCTATTTCTGAGTATTTGGGTTATAATTTGCTAAGAAATGAGTTATTTAACTTTTGTTTTACCATTTCTGTTAATTTGTACACAGAGATTAACACAGTTGGATGCCGGCCAGCTCAGTAGTCTAGGGGTTAAGCGTTTGCGCGCGACACCAGAAGTCTTGGGTCCGGGTCCCTTTAATGCGGAACGAAACGGCCGTTCAGTTCTTCCAGGTCTCCCATGGTGGTCTAGCTTAAATCGACTCATGAATTGAACTGTTAAATATATTTTCAATTTATAGTAATTGAAGTAGAATGAAAACCATGTCTAGCTAATCATGACATTTGCTCTAATAAAACTTGATTCTTCTCATTTGTACACAAAAGTCTATAACAAATACACATTATATATATATATATATATATATATATATATATATATATATATATATATATATATATATATTAAGACAATGAAGAAATTCACTAGTTTCCACACTGACTGATTCGTAAGTTTATCTAAATTTAAAAAGCTAACTAGTCAAGTTCTGTGTTGCTTGAATACAGTTTCCATTAATAAGGAATACCATTTGAAAAATTGACCGCAATTGATTAGGATTGTACAATTATTTTGTTGTGCTTTTGTGACAAATCAGCACCGCGATCTAACACTTTCGAAAGAATCAGTCTACAATTTAGTATATACAACCACCATACTATCGTTGTTAGACTAAATAGAAATACATGGGTAGAGCTTAGTTGTTATACATTCATGACAAATTCTTTTGAATATCATGTTCATAACTCAAAACAAAGACGCGATTTGACAAGTTTTTATAGCGACAACCCGTTACTGGAAGCATAACATTCTGTTTTGAGAAAAAATTACCTTCTACTGCTTGTTGTATTCATAGCCGACCTGTGTATATCACAAACATTCTTCAAGGAGTCTGGATGATAGACGATAATTTTCAAATTCTTGTATGATTCATACTTGATTTCACGGAATACACTTTCAAATAAAAAATTCCAATCGATCTGATCAAAATAAATAATAATTTGAAATATATTTACAAAGACAACAAATGGGTTATGTTACAATATGGATTTTCAACACATGATTAATGTCACTCAGCTAATTCTGATCAGTAATTATCATGTATTTTGTTATTTACAATAAACTTTAATAATATTGTACTATTCTTGTTGACTGCATTTTCACTAAAAGATCATTCTGTTTGGAGTTTAAGCCTTATAATTTTTATTCATAGTAATTTTGAAAGGAGTTGACTTCAGTCAAACTAACGAGTTATTTTTTTACAATAAACTAATCATTCATTAGCTTGATAGTTGTGACTGATAAACAGTTATTATTGTGCTTCTTATTTAACTTGTAATGTTGTATTAATGAGAAATATATGACTGAAGAAATTCAAGTGTTAGTTTCATGATTTCTATCTGTAACAGTAAAACGTGATGAGAACAATTAATTTCGTTTGCTTTTCTTAATCATAAAGTATTTCTTTCTGGATATTGAGTATAGATTTATTCTGAACATTTTTAAGTATGAAGTATACAGTTTGAATATTTCTTTTTGGTCAACTCAACTTTTAAACTGTTTCAGATCTGAATAATGTCTATAATGAAGATTTTATGTCTTTTAAAGTAGGGATATTTCGAACACCTTTATTTGACACTCCAATAAATAGTTTATTCTTAATAAAAAATGATTTGATTACGGAATAGTTGGATAAAGCGTTAAAGAACTTTCATGTTATGGTAGGAAACATTCAGTTAGAATTCAATAATCATAAAATTATTCTTAATTATTAGAGTGTAAAGTTCTGTAACAGAAATCTCATGTTGAGATTTAGATGGTGGTTGGAGGTAGTCAACAGGAAACCCTGGACCCGGGTTTCGTGCTACTGGCTACTGATGACTGCCTCCAACCACCATCTAAATCTCAATACATAGTGCCCGCAGTGTCGAGTCACCTAGACTGCTGGCCACATTGTAACATGCTCGATAGCATTCGATCTGCACTAATAAGGACTAGACACGCATGACATTGATCACCACCCCGTGATGAATGAATTGTGAGAGATCTCATTTTCTATAATTTATAACTAAGTGTATGACACCACACTATACATACAATTTTACATATTATGATAACCGATAAGAATTATGTAAAATTGTTACACTAGGAAAATCGAAATAATGATAAGATATGATAGGTAATAATAATGATTGTAGCTGGGTAACAGTAAAGCTCATAGTAAAACTGATTTCAATTAACTTTAACAGTAAGTTAGTGAACGGATGAATTTCCTCCTTATTTTTATAAGATGGAGAATGCCACTGGGTGGCCTATACTACTCCACGAGGGATAACAGACATAAGTAGTAGTGTATTGAACAGAACACGGGTGGGGACGATCGAATGTGATTAGCACAAAATTACAGAGTTACTTGGTAAAATAGAAAATCCATACTATAATACTTAATTTACAAAATGTTCAATAATTGTTTCGAAATTCATTGTTCTTGCATTTCCATACTGATTGCTTTCTATTCCCGCTCTTCCTTTCTTAATCTTCCCCCATCTTCTGCTGCCATGTATTACTTACTGATTCTCTTCATATCCTACTTATATCAATATAAGTAGCATGCACAACAGTAGTAGGTTTATATGATAGGGAACATAAGAAGATTAACTATTTAATAATCAATGTATCAATAATATTTCCACAGTAAGTGTCCAAATGGTTGGATAACCAGCTTTACATCATAAAAGTTCTTTACATGAATATACTACTTTAATAGCGATTTAATTTTCAACCTACAACGGAACAGATTTGACTCAGATTTTCAAATGGGACTTCTTTATCCACATTCTCCAATGGGATTGCCTGCAACAAAGACAATATCACAACATGATAACCACAGTAAATTATTTGAAGTATAATAATAAAGGCAAACCCACCATAGTGAAGGATTATAGCTAAATTAAAATAAATGTTCATTTATATTTAATCTAGATCGGTAATCTATAGTCAAATAAATTTTCTGTATTTAATTTATTAATTTGCATTTTATGATTTTCATGAAAATTAGTTCAATATTCACATTGTCTGTTACTTGTAGGTAAAAGCGAGTAAACATTACAATACCCACGACGCTAAGTAAAAACATGGAAGACTGATGAGAGTGAAGATCTATTCGCCCCAAAAACATGACAATCATAGTCAAAAGTTAACTGATTTATTTACTGATTGAACACCCATTTTGATTATTATTTAGAAAGAAGTCACATATATGAGAAGATAACAAGATCACATGCTCCATATCATACTGAACATGGTGAGTTAAAAATATATTAGCCTTTTCATTTTGTCATATCATATAGTGAATAAGTTAGCAACCTAATATTTCTTCATATTACAACTATTGGTTATTTACACTGATATATCTAAATTTAAACATCATTAGGGATAGAATGTTATCGGTTTTTATTTCAGTTATTTTGTCAAACGACAAACAACATGTTTTATTATTAGCAAGAAAGTGTATACATTTGACTAACCAGGTATTACGGCTTAATGCATTACGTTTAACATGTAAATTATGTATAATCAGTTTCATTTGATGATCATTTATATTAAACTTTTTTAATCCAACTTCAATTATTCAATGATACTCAACAGTTGGATGATAAATTTTTATGTTTTGTAGTCAAACTATGGTATATTGTCATTATTAACCATGAAATTGTGAAACCTTTAATAATATGACGTAATATGTTTAATTTTATTGATGAAATTAAATTTAGGAGGTCAACGTCTGTCAGGAAAAGAAGATAAATCTTTACATACCTATTATTATTATTATTATTATTATTTTGTCACTGTTATCATTTAGACATTACCTTTTAAAGTAAATAATGCTACTATTGTAACGTTCAAAAGACCACGTTTACTTATAAATGTCAATTTAATTTCAGAAAACAGGTTTGGTTTTTAGGTGAAAATCATGAAACATAATTCAATTAGTCAACTCGATATCTATACGTTCAAAAAATAAGTATAATCACATAAGTTTTTTACTCTGAAAGTGTTTATATATTTTAAAATTAACTAATACACTTCAAACTTGATTTGGAATAAGTAAATCTACTGAACCCAAGCCGGACAGAAAAAGATAGATTCAGGAGAGATGCTACTGTATTCTGAACACAAAGAAGGAAATGCTCCACACACACAGAGAGTTGCTCTGGGGCTTTCCAAAGAGGCACGAAAAGCATTTATAGGATGAGAATCTCACGGATCTATAATCATCAAAGCATTCTTCGAAACAAAGAAAGAGGAAATTACAGTAAATGTTATTCAATGTTATGCACCCATCAATGATAACAAGGACGACGATAAAGCTCAGTTCTATGAGAATCTGAAGTTGATCGTAGAGAAGTGCCCAGGAAACGACCTGATCATTCTGAAAAATGACCCAAACGCCAAAGTCGGAATAAACAACACCGAGTATGAAGATATCATGGGACAACATGGACTGGAAGAAACGAACGAAAATGGTGATACTTTCGCAAATTTATGTGAATACAACAAGATGCTTATAGATGGCATTATACTCCCACACAGACACATACACAAAGCTACATGGGTATCACCGCATCAGTTGATTGATCATATTTGCATAACTGAAAAAATCAGTAGGACAATAAAAGATATGAGAACCAGAAGAGGAGCTAACTTAGCTTCATATCACCACCTGGTTGTGACCAAGATGAATTTGTTACTAAAGAAACACTGGACAGCTAGAGAAACAGCATTAAAAAGGTTCAATACAGCCTTTCTTCGAAATCCTGATGAACTCAACGAATTCAAGACAGGTTCAAAGCCCTACAAGATCTACTCAAAGAAGAGGAAATTACTATAGAGAACAACTGGAAAGGGATCAAAGGAGCACTAACTTCAACTTGTCAAGAACCGTAAAAAAACATCATCATAAGGAGTGGATCTCTATCGAGACTTTGGCCAGGGTTCAAAACAGGAAGGTCAATAGCTGAACAAGAACAGAGCAAGTCAAGGCACAAACAGAATCAAACAGGAGATTGATGAAGAGCACTATAACGGACATGCTGCAATATGTAAAAAATCTGGAAATAACAGCGAATGAAGTTTCAAGAAAAGGAAATATTGCAAACCAGAGCGACTAGTCAAGAAAAAAGTAGGCAAGCCAGTCACTCAGATTCAAAAACAGAGGATCAGGTGGGTTGAGCACTTAGAAGGACTGTTGAATAGGCCAACATAATCGAACCCATAAGACATCGATGTAGTACTCACAGACATTCCTATAGATGTCACTCCACCAACGACCAAAGAGATCAGAATGGTCAAGAGTGAGAAAGCAGTGGGATTTGATAACATAGTAGCTGAAGCATTCAAGTCAGACAGAGAGATAATAGCAGAGATCTTACACTGTCTATTCATGAAGATTGAAAAGAAGGACACATAATGATACTAATAAAAGGAGATCTGGAAAAGTGTTAGAACTATTGAGACATTACACTGCTGTCAGTATCGGGAAAAGTTTTCAACAAAGTGCTGCTGAATCAGATGGAAAATCCAGTAGAGGCCCAAGTTCAAAATCAATAGGCATTGATTTATATGGGCAGGATCACCCACAAACATGGAGAAATATGGTGTAGATGTAAAGGTGCGGATTGGCAAAGCAAAAGCGGCATTCTCACAACTGTCAGCCAACTCCAAAGTCACAATCTTCAGTACGAATGTCAAAACAGTTCTACTGTACGGAGCTGAAACTGGAATAACTAATACAACCATTATCAAAATGGTACAAGTATTTATAAACAATTGCCTACTCAAGATATTCAATGTCTGTTAGTCGAACATCATCATCAACAGCTTACTATGAGAGAACAAATCAGCTTCCATCTGAAGAGGAAATTGGGAAAAGACACTAGGGGTGGATAGCACATAGATTGCGGAAATCAGCAAACAACATTAGGCGGCAAGTGCTTACTTAGAATCCTGAAGGGAAACGGTAAAGAGAAAGGCCAAAGAACACATAGCGTCGAGAATCGAAAGCAGACATCAAGAGAATGAATAGCAACTGGAAACAACTGGGGAGGATTGACCAGGACAGAGTTGGATGTACAATGCTGGGTGGCGGCTTATGATCCCCCATGAGGAGTAACAGGCGTAAGTAAGTAAGTAAACAAGTAGGCTAGTAAGTAACGCATCTCAGTAACAATTGCTTAAACTATTCGACAGTTGAAATTTTATTAGACGATACAGTTTTCCATAAACGTTTCTCAATATCTGGAATTTAAGTATCTTATTAACCAAAGTATTGGGATATGTCAAAATGTGCATCATAATAAATTCTTGAATAATTGCAAAGTGGTTGTGATATGTTTACTTACATTTTTAATGTCTGAATACATATTAAAAACACCTTTTGCCAATTCTTCCTTATTTTCCCCCACTTCAAAATTCTCCAGTAACTTGGAAATTTGTTCTTCTGTTCCTTCTCCATTGTTAACCGACTAGATATTAGTTATGGAAAAAATAAAGCACACAAGTTCCTGATTTCATAATATCATAACTACATATGATTCAGAAATGAGGATAAGTATGATAGTGAAAAACAAAATATTATTCATTGGGATACAAGAAAAAATTTTTTTGTCATTAACTTCCTATCCGATACTCAATTTTTTTTCAAACTAACATGTCTGACCTTGGGATAGAATTGTTATCAGAATGGGGGTTTGTGGAGATTGTAGTAATTTTTATATTCGAATTCATGAGTCGATGTGCGCTAGAACACCGTTGAAAACCCGAAAGTACTAGACTGCCATTTCGTTCTAATATGGGACTCCTCAACCGTATTCATCCACGATCCTGGACCAAAGGAATCTGAACTCAAGGCCTTCGGTCCCATACCTGAACACGTAACCTCTAGACCACTGAGCTGACCGGCATCCAACAGTATTAATGTCTAACTCCAATCAATCTTGCTTAACCCTTCATCCATTGTCTGAGGTAGATACCTGTCTCTATCCTGCACGAATTGAACTCCACTGGTCATGGCTTCTTATTGGGACTTCAGGAAATCCATCTTTAAGTAAGTCACTAGGGAGCACATGATGATTGTTCGCGTGCGAGATCGAAGGTCCTGGGTTCGATTCTCACATGCGGGATCGTGGTTGCTCAATGCTTGGGATAGAATATCGATCACACCTTTATGCAATTTTTCAACGTTGAGGTAAGATAGACTACTTTTTTTATTTACTTTATTATGTATTTAAATGATGCACTTTTATAGAAAGTAATATGGCACGTTTTCTAATCTATATAATGTGTATATATAGGTGGTTACTGAAATGCATTGTTGTCCCAATACACGTGTTACTATTAGTGATTAAGATATTACGTATGAAATATATTAAAGGTTGTTGATGTAAATAAATTAATTTTCAATTACATGCGGTTTGTCTGGAAGTTTTACCCTAATTAACGTTGTCATTGTAGACTCTTTTAGTCAATAAACACGTACTTTATTCAGTGGAACAGTGTGGACGTAAATGAACCACGATTAATCAATGTAATAAATGATTTTAACTAACTTCATGAGCTTTGTAGGATTCCTGTATAGAAGATTTTAATTTTAATGTGATGATTGAGAATTCCAAAGAATTTCTAATTGACAATCAAGTATGTAGATTCTTTCTGTTAAGTCGTTTGTAATACACACATGATGAAGTGTACTATGAGTGGTTAATTAAGTTCTGTATCCAAGTTGATGGTGGCAAACATCTACCAATTTGACAATGATAGTAACTGCTTAAAATGTTTTGGTTAATTTGCAGCAATTAATCAAAAGTAATCTATCATCACGTTATCTATGCAGATGAATTTTCTTCTGAATTTATCATTTTGTTATTGTGACATTTGCGTTTACTTATATTTTGTCAAAAACGTCACAATGTTTAGATTAAGATACAAGAAAATATTTAAAAAATCAGTGATATTTGTAAGCTGATGTGGTATTTCTTATTTCTATTGTGCTTGAGAATACGGCAAGGCTATAATTTATGGACGAACCAATTAGATATTAAGTAACAGGTTTTGGAATTCGGTGCGAAATTCGTTCACTCGTTTTGTTAGATATCATGTTGGCATTATATCTGATGTCACTTCATGATGGAAACATTAAATCTTATACTCAACCCTAATGTTCAACTGTAAATTCTAATCCTCATTTCTCACACTAATCTGTGATCCTCATTTAAACCTAGTAAGTGAGTGGTCCTATCCCAAGGTTATTTTAACGTTGTTGAAATGTCGTCCATAAATTATAGTCTCACCGAGAATACTGTTCGATATGATTGAGACAAAAAAAAGTAAAGCTAAACTGTTTTAAACACTGGATCCACCATTATTCAAAACTTTATGAATACATTCGATCAATAAAATGAACTTAACATGATGTTTCGTGTTACAGATTACAATAAATCAGAAATAAACTGTCAATGAAATTCTATTATCAATTCATATATAGATAAATAGATTCTTATTTTTTTTTATCTTACTATGTTTGAAACACTACTGGTAAATACATTAAGTGGACCTGAAGAAATCTGAAATGAAAAAGTAGTTATTTGTATTGTTTAAGAGAATTCAAATGAAATATTGTACATTTGTATGTTAGAGTTACTAATCGGTATTTATTCTTTCGGAAAGCATTTACTTTAACATATACTATCTATTGAGAGTTTTGATTATTGTTTACGAAGTATTTTATTGAATTAAGAAGGTTGATTTGTAGGATGATAAATGTTATTTTTCTAGATAGGAAAACTTGGTTTTTGACTATCAGTACATGGATTTATTTATTTATTATTATTTATTTAAACACATAAACATAGGTAAAAGGTGGCACCAAATAGATATGCGCCACACAAACCATTCGATTTGTGTGAGGGCTGGGATACTGCCCGGGTGCCCAGACCGAAGCAGGTGGTTTTCTTAGGGGGCCACACCTAGAGCCTTTGACCTAAAGGTCTGATCCACAAGGCAGTGGAGCATCGTGAGGAGATGCAGTCTCATGGTAGCCGGTGACCAACGATTAGTTCATACGCCATTTTTCCCCGCAGGATACTGGGGCCCATGTGCACCATTCGTTTGGCAGAGGCTATATACGCGTGGCCGTGTGAGAGCATTTCAAGAGGAAGGGCGAGCCCACCCCACTCTCGGCCATACCAGGGCATTTGAGGATTATATAAAATAAGTAGCTCTAGGCCAAAATTATTGCTACAGGAAACAGTGGAGTTAGTTTTCACATTTAGAGTGTGCACATTTGTTTAGTTTAGATTAATAACATAAATGGAAGGAAGTGATATAGATAGTAAATAAACCATAACTGAATCTGTTAATGAATTTAAGTTCAAAAATGCACCAATACATAAAATGTATGGCGCATTACATAATATGAGGCTTTCACTTACTACTGATGTAACTTACATAAAACTATGAACTGAATACGTTCAAAGAATCATACATACGTTCAATTACCCTTATATTTATGCGAATTTTGTGAACATGTTAGAGTATACGTTAACGAGAGATTAATGTCGTACTGATATAGTGCTTAACTAATAATAGTGTTTAATTTAAAAGTAATTGTACGTAGGTATTTCGGACCTGATTTAAGTCTATAAAAAGATTATTATAAAAATCACTTTATTGTACTGTAGCGTGGTGTCGAGTCTCAGTTGACTATGAACACCGCTTCTGAGAAACACGTGCCAATAAAATCAGAGGGCGAAATAGAACCAAGTTTATTTGATTGGCGATCTCGTGGTATTGAAAGAGTACCAAGATCGTGCCAAGAAATGGTACAAGCAGAAGCAGCAGAGGGGAGTACGTGCGAGTGAAGTCATTAGCCGCAAAACAATAATGGAGAATAATGGTAGCACAATTTGTTTGTCATTACCACAGTTAAACAAACGAGCACGGTAAAACAATCACTGGTACAATTGGTTATAATAATAATAATTGTTTTCATTAAACCAATCGTGTTCTCGTGATAAAAGTAAGTCACTACAGTACTATGAAATGGTTCGAGGTTTCGAATCCTGATAATTCACTAGTTTGTAAGCTAGATGGAAATGATGAAAATTAAACGTTTATAATTTAGAATTATATGTAAATAAACAAAAGATGTTTTGTCCAATAACTCACATAGATATATCGATTTATACTTTTGTTTCTACTTTGAACTATGTTTAGAGAAAATATAGTTGTTTTTCCATTTTGAAATATCAGTGGTAAAATTAAATTGGTAAGATTGAACAATTTATCATCAGGTATATTGTTGCTAATATTGAACGAAATTTTATCAGAATATATTGACAATGACCATCCGTTGAAAAGAGATGATATTAATTGAATAATTTTCTCTTTTCTTGACGATGTTTCCTCCTTAGAGTTTGTGATACAAGATCGGTAGTAATTAATAGCAGCCGTAAGATGTGATTCATTTACATTCATTGTATTCTTCACTTAAAACGAAATAAATCAATAACTTAGTGTACTATTTTGAAAAGTTTCAAAATCATTATTTATTTATTACACGTTTATAATAGAATAAATTTGACTGACATCACAAATGCCTAATTACCAGGCCACTGAGCCGGAATTCAACAGTGGTAATGTCTAACTTCAATTAATTCACGATGTCGCCTAACAGAATTACACAAACGTTTGACGATAATTAGACTGCTTGATAAACTTGAAGAATTTTGATTTAAGTACTAGTGTGATTTTATTTTGTAGTCATACTATAATTTATGGACGACATTTCAACAACGCTAAAATAACCTTGGGATATGATAACTCACTTACTAGGTTTAAATGAGGATCACAGATTAGTGTGAGAAATGAGGATTAGAATTTACAGTTGAACATTAGGGTTGAGAATAAGATTTAATGTTTCCATCACGAAGTGACATCAGTTATAATGCCGAAATGATATCTGACAAAACGAGTGAATGGATTTCGCACCGAATTCCAAAACCTGTTACCTTATATCTGATTGGTTCGTCTATAAATCATAGTCTCGCCTATTTCGTATATTAAAATACAAATATAATGCTCTACTTCAACATACATGCACAAATTCTATGTAAAATAACTGTTAGAATTATTAGATTTGGAATTGAGTTGTTTTGCACCACGTTATCCATTATTTAGTATTGATATTGGTTTTGATGTAAAATAGTTTGTGCTTGATAAACATCATTTAGTAAGAAAATAATAATGATTTTGAGACTATTTACTGAATTGAATACAAGTCTTAAAAGACATATAGTAGATTATTAAAATGATCTGTATTCAAGTTTGATTATAATTTTTCCGTAGAAGCCTAAAAAGATTAACTTGATACAATACAAATATATAATTCTTAGGAATTGCTTTACTATGAAGGAAGGAAGCAATAAAAAAGACTTCGAAAATGTGCATGACATAAATAAAAATCGGTTAAACGAGTAGTTCAGCTAATGTTTACGGATAGCTCATATTTATAATAAACACACCATAATTACATTCTATAAAATCGATTCACTAAATAACGAACTTTACAGTAGCAAGTTAGTCAGAATTGACTGTCAGTGTTTTAATACTGAATAATGAATCAAAATATTAGATATATTATCTAATAGATGAAAATAAACTCCGCTTGTAGTTCTTTCAGGGTTACTGCTAGTTCAAACCGAGTAAAAGGAAGAGGGTTGGTCATGGGGTCAGCAACACTAGCTCATAGTCAACAACATTGCTAAAAAAAAGCTAGTCCGAAAAATCAATTTGAACCATTGAAACTCTATCTCGGGATTTGAAGGATCTTCATTCATAAGGTCTATGAAGGATCCTAGCGAAAGACGAGATTCTTCGGAAGTTACAAGACCGATGACTCTTCTTATTAAGATGAAAGTAATCGGCACTGAATCAATCACTGTTTTATGCTGTAAAATTGATAAATGAGTACATGTTTAAAAAAAGAGATTGTTTTTCTTATGCTTTCAGTCGATAATTTTGTATACGATCAGAATAAATTAAACATTTATAGACATTAAAAATCTTGAACAAAATCATGCTTAAATATGAAATAATTAATGAAAAGTTATCAATTGAACTCACAAATATCTATGATAAAATCATCTGAATTTAATAAATGATCTTTAGGGAAGTCATTTGATATTTGTTTTTGGCAAACAGTTTCTTCAAAATTATCACAGTTGGTATTAATTTCATTATCTGTGATAATACCTGTGCAATTATTATTGTTAAACATATTATCTTCATATGAAATAAAATAGAAAGAAAGTAAACACTTAGTTCTATTTAAGTTATAGGCAAATAATTTTCACAAAGTGAGTTAATAAAACGTTCATGTCTTTAAGAATGTTAATAAAATACCATACTTATTGAAACCTGACCAATGGCAAAGAGAAACATTCGTAATAAATAAAATACATATAATAAATATTATCCGAATGGGTTTTGTGGAGATATTTTAGAAATTTTACTTGTTGGTTGGTTAAGCGCCTGGCGCAAGACTGATAGGTTCTGGGTTCGAATCCCGCGGGGTGTGGGATCGGGGATGCACACCGCTGAGGAGTCTTATACTAGGACGAAACGGCCGTTCAGTGTTTCCAGCTTTTCCATGGTGGTTTAGCTTCAATTGACTCATGATTTCAACAAGTGAAATATAATAAATAGTGTAAAATTTGTGAAAAAAAGCATAAATGTAACAAAATTATGATGATATTTTGCTCATAAAAAGTAAAATCACAACAAAAAATTTATAGAATTATATGTGCAATTTAACGCAAATCTGTTATAATAGCATATTCAACTCACCCAACCAACTTGTGTATAATGATGTAATGGCATTCAGAAATTCATTTTATAAACTTACATGCATCTATTTTTGATGTATCCACTGTAGGAGATTTGTCTGTGAGTGATGAGAAAGCTAGTTCAGTGTAAAAAAAATGCCAAGAAAACAGAAAATAGTAATCAGTTTGTGTATAGTGAGATGATGCATATATTTCATTCGATTTCACGACATCATGTATAACATTGTATGTCACTATCAGCACTATTTGTTGATTCTCTTATGAAATTTTGTGATACATATTTTACCGATTATATTTTGCGTTACTTTTGTTCATTTAAACTTATGTCATTAGAAGGTTTATTTATTTTCCACTTTTACTTCGATGCTTAAATTTAATCGTACATAGATTTTAAGTTTTACATTAGGAAAAATTATCTTTAAAGTCTTCCATGCCCCCATTTGTAGATATCGTAGCGTCTTAAAATAGAAAACCAAAATTTTTTTTGTCTATAATCTATTTAGTCGAGCTTATGTACAATAATAATGAAACTATTGCATTACCTGACACTGTATATGTACTATTTATTCATAAATTGAGGAATGTTGGATAATAATGTCATAATTGAATTATGTCATTATTAATAATAATTTCTAACAAAAAATTTACTACAAAATAATTGAGTTTTTAAAATGATATGAATAAATCTAATTAGTTGTTTTGATCAAATTTCTCATTTATATCTTAGTTACAAATGAATTGAAAAGAACGATACTGAGTTTGTTAACACATTTTGTAATCAAATTAATTAATCAATCAATCAATCAATTAATGTCTATTTATTTCTCTCTCTCTCTCTCTCTCTCTCTCTATATATATATATATATATATATATATATATATATATATATATATGCCACGCGAAACGTTGAATTTATTTCGAATTCTTTCGCTGAGATTTCGCAAATTCATTCTTCCTCTTTAATGTCTCAAATTATCAACCCATCACCTAGATATTGTGAAACTATTCGATCAAATTTAAACAAAAGTTTTTATATATATAGTTTAAATTTAGGTACAGAATTAAGCAAAGAACATGTTGTATCATGTAAAATATCATTGTATAAATGTAATAATAGTGACATAACTTATTGATTTATTATTATTATTATTATCAGAATGGGTTTTGTGGAGATTTTAGAAATTTCACAGATTGAAATCATAAGTCAGTTGAAGCTAGACCACCATTGAAAACCTGGGAGCACTGGACGGCTGTTCCAACTTCGTGGATTGGTTGAAAATAGACATTAACACCGTTGGATACCGGCTCAGTGGTCTAGTGGTTAAGTGCTCGCGCGCGAAGCCAGTAAGTCCTGGGTTCGAACCCCACGTGGTGCGAGATCGTGAATGCGCACTGCTGAGGAGTCCCACACTAGGATGAAACGGCCGTCCAGTGCTTCCAGGTTTTCAATGGTGGTCTAGCTTCAACTGACTCATGATTTCAATCTGTGAAATTATTATTATTATTATGATTCCATTTTATAAATCAACTTACAATTTGAATTGATTCTCATATAATGTAATAATAATATTGATGATGCTATCAATGCAAATACTGTAGAGATGATATAAAGAAATATAAGATATTTTTGTAATTTTGTTAATTTCATAAATGACATTTTATTTTTTCAATTTGATAATAATAATTTATTAATTGAAAATCTTTTTATTTATATTAATAAATTAATTAAATGGATCAATATTTTATCATATAATTGTGAAGAATAATCTTAGACATAATCAACTTTAATATTAAGGTCATTGAGTTGGAAACAAATAATTGCTTTTTCTTTTCTCTTCTTTCTTTTTTTCTTTTCTTTTTTTCTTTTCTTTTTTCTTTCCTTTTTCTTTTCTTTCTTTCTTTCTATGTAATACGATTAAGAATATAATTAATATCATACATTTATATAATATAACTAATTTTTAAAAGAAATTCATTATTTTGACAATAAAGAATTTCTAATAGTTTTATGTCTGGGTTATAGTTAATATTAAAAACAAATAAAACAAATAATTAAATAAGAATATTATTACAGATGATAAATTAATTAATTAAAATAAGTAAATATATTGTCGAGCGAATATTTGAATTGATATTATTATTTAACTGATATAATTTATTATTTATCACATGATATGATCGTCAATTACAATATCGAATTACACGATTTTGGCACTATGCCAAATCAATGATTTGTTAACTAGCACAAACAACCTAGAGTTAATTCTAAGTCCTTATTGATACTTATTACTTTGCATTGCTTATTGAGTGCAGAACACAATTTCAACTTCTATTGTATTAATCATGTATTTCAGACATATGTAGTATATGTGCATGCAAATTAGACCTCATCACACCATAGAATAAATAATAATCATTATACAAGATCAGACTGGAAATGTCTGTGAATATGAAATAGTGTAACTAATAGATTGGAAATAACTTGAAAATGATAAATCGTAAGATAGTAGTCAATAAATTAAATGAAAGCTTATAATAAGAGAAACACAAATAGATATAATCTAATTACTTAATAGTTATACAATAAGAATATATTCATAAATAATTCTTAGCCTCGACCATTCGTCTATTTGTTATTAGGATATAACACATATCAACTTTATTTAGTTTTTTTTTCACTGTAAACAAGTACACATTTTATTATCGTGTGATGTATGCTACTTATTTCGTCGGACATAAGTAGTATGTAACACCAATCTAATATGAAATGCCTGGTAACAGAAGTTTGAGATAATCAAATTGAAGAAGACGGAAATATAAACAGAGATTAATAACAGTGAAAGAATGATAAAGTTTGAGACTTTTAATGGAAGATTTGCAAATGAAGTATTTAATGTATGATTTTCACATCCTATGAAACAAATTCGTAACTTTGTATCATTCACTTCAAGTGAGATGATTCTTAGCAATTGTATTGAATGTTGTGTCTAGAATTAATAAGTATATGAAAGTAGTATTACAGAGATACATTATGGATTATGAAATTTTAAAAATATTGGCAGCCAATGTGTAATATATACTATATAGAGTCACCTCGTACTGATCAAAATACGTTTAAATGAATTAGTGTTTATCACTAAAACTCTACATATAGACATCAAAAATCCTCACCAGTTTTAATTCACTTAGTAGCGCTATAAAATGCACATTGGGATAAGTGTTCAAAAGCTATTTTAACTGTTATGAGTTTTGAAATAAACAGTCTTGAGAGTAATATTGGAAAAATTAAGTAATATCTCATAGAAATCTAGCTATAGATTACTGAGCTTGTAACTAGAACTCCAAAACTATAGACATAAACTAAAACTTACATTTTTATCTCTTAATCGGATCACCAATCAAACATTCTGCTCTTTCTTCGGTGAATCAAAATAATAACAAATAATATACTATCTAAATATCGTAAGCGTATTTGCTATTTCGAATCTTATCACCGCCTACTTGATGGTCAGTAGGATATAGGTGGTTCAACATTATGCCATTAAAGAAGCATCTATTAATTTATACTTGGATAAAAAGTGACATTTTCAATAATCTTACTTTGAAAAATATCTTAGAAATTGCCTATATTCATGAAACATAAAAGTGAAAACTTAGTTGCGAATTGAAATTAATGCCAGATATATCGACTTATTTTGTGCGAAAAGTCTTTTAGTGATCCAGTTAGATCGGACAAACAATGGTTATTGAGTGATTGTTGTCGAAATATACATCCTGGCTATCCTCGTTTACGATTATCGACTTGAATCGCGTTGGTGAATAACGGAACTAAATAAGGCAAATGGATTTTTGAATACATATATTTCGTGCAATTGTTGATCGGAGAGCAAGGCAAAACAAAATGACGCGCAATAGAACCAGCTTGATTTAACCAAGCGTGAATCGATTTTATAGTCAAGGTTGGTAAGCGAATAAATGACGAGGTGAAAATGTGACTTGAATAGATTGATCTATCCAGAGGCGAGAATAATCTAAGTGGGCTTAACAAAGTACCAACCCCTACAGTTTCCTCAAGAAAATTCAGTTTTTGTTTGAATTTTCAGATTTTTGATTTGGCTAACTAACACTGACATTATGATCAGTGGAATTTTACGGTCACTAATAAATGGACAAAGTGGTATTGGTCAGTATATGAAACATTTTCCAAACCTGATATATAGACCACATAAAAACTGGTATTTAGTGTCAAATTAGGTCGATCATATGCATAGTTAACTATCTTATAAACCCATTCAAATAATGTAACATAAAGTACATATGTTTTAGGTAAAAATGTATCTTGAATTATTAAGAATTTATAACTGGATATGCATAATCATCAAATCTTCCTAAAATCATAGTAATAATACATTTTTAGGAACTATGATCTTT